AACGTGTTTGGTGGCCACTTTATATGCTTGTAGTTTTGATTGTGGCATGAATATATGAAACATTGCTTCCGAGGCTATATGTTTGGTTAATAAACGGTTACGTACATTTATCATGTGATAAATAAGAGACTTGTTACCATGGCCATCATTGAATGGGTCAACAACTGCCTACGCCTAAGTAGTATTGAGTGTCTAGGTGTAGGCTGAATAAGCGTGACATACATGGTGACCAAATGCCACTTTAAACATGCCCTTGGATTAGGTGTTACTTGAAAGGAAATCTCCCTTTGTATATTCAAAGTAGCTACCGGCTTGCAACGTTCTTGTCGATCAGACAATAAGGAAGGAACAAACGAAGAAAGATTTCCATTATAAATAAGATATTTCTCTTCAATATCGATCGTACCGATTATGTTGTGAGCAGGTGTTTATGAATCACAATGTCATACTGGCGATACAAAATGTTTGCAAAAAGATGAGCATATCTAGCTGCCATGATGGCAGACACCAGGAACACATGCATGCAATTGGTCGCCTGAATATAGGCTCGTGAATATAAGATTAAGTCAAAATAGGTAACTGTAGTAATGTAGTGACATACCAGCCGTTTACGTAATGCTCCCTTAACTACCGGATGTAGATTACTGCTCCATATTTAACCCAATGCATGATGGGAAATCATCGGGCCATGCTACCCGCCCAAGTTTGTACACCATGCGACATCCAGTAAAGCCGCTGCTCTCCAAGTTTGTGTCGTGTGTTGGTTAAGCATAAGAGTCACGATTCCACAGTAACCTTTTTTGAAGTGTTGCCATCCCTTTTTTCAAACCGTCTTCCGAAGAGTTGTTTGTCACTCTGAATCTTCAAACATTGATCTAAAAGTGAAACAAGTCAGCTGGTTTTATTGGTCCCACATTTCGTGATGAGGTGTTTATTTCTGCTGAAGAGAACTTGCTATTGGGCCACCAATTAGCTATATCAGATCATCGATTATCACGAAAATTAAGTCAATTAAAATTACTTAATATTACTAGCCAAATTCTCTTGTTTTATAATTTGATTTTTACAATCTGAGAATTGCGTCTAGCTCTTTCGGATAAACGACCAGATACTCAAGGAGGGGATCCCAAGTGGTGCCTATTGGCATTCCTATATCTTCCATATGAAGTCTAGCATTTCATTGTAGATTAGAATATTCCGCAATTGATTTGTCTCTTAGTTTTTGCTTTCTTCTTCCTCAAAAGATTTTAATAAAGGAATTAATGATTCGATGTGTTTTATTGTCACTCTTTAGCCAATCTCGTTATCATATGAAACGTTAGCACCACGTTGGCTTTGAAGATTGTAAACTCGTGGGCAATATTTTCACCTATACCAGATAACCATAAATCCCTAATAGTCTTCGCTGATCTCTTTTCAGAACATTCAACAATATCCAGAGTTAAAAAATGTGGATGATTTAATCTAACTTTCCCCACGAAGGAATTGTAAAAATTGGGGATTCTTTTCCGTCCTACATAACTACGATTACCCCTTCATGTGTTTTTAAGGGCTATATGGTAACAACGCAACAGTTTGTGTATACTATTGTATGTACTTGTGAATCAAATATGGATGAAACGTATAAATTGTTCATTTTCTCTCAAAACTCCCACCAGTATTCTATCAATAATGGTAATCATATACCAAATATATAATCACACGCTCCCAGCTAGCAGCACACAATGCTTGTCACCGTCTAAAGAAAGATTGAATGCTTGTATAATGCAACCTGACTGTGTGTAATAAGACCGGAGGCCTACAGGGAAATATATTATTAACAGTCACGCATTTACCTGAAATGTCTTCAGCAGTATGAGGGCGGTGGGGTAGCCTAGTGGTTAAAGAGTTTGCTCGTCTCGCCGAAGCCCCGGGTTCGATTCCTCACATGGGTACAATGTGTGAAGTCCATTTCTGGTGTCCCCCGACGTGATATTGCTGGAATATTGCTAAAAGCGACGTAAACCTAAAGTCACTCACTCACCCATCAGTATGACCTGTGAACAATGTGATAGACATCCCCCCCTGCTTTACATTCAGATGTGTTCCGTTACGTTCTCAGCGTTTCAGTTTCAAGATGAAAAATTTACACGTTGTATTTGCATCGGTAAGAAGCCCGATACTTTCCAGCGGGGTATGTGGATTGTACCTTGTAAGTCAGCAGGGTGCATTGAAAGCATCGTGCATACAGTATCAGAAAAATAATATAAAATATCAGCACCAGAGAATAACCTTGATTATCCATTGGGAGTAAAGGCAAAATAGCTGTGAAGAGTATATGAGTATATCAATAAAAATCAATGATGATTTGTATCAATACGTAAACGGGCTAGGGCTTCATCAATGTGACGCAATTTGTATTCTTGATGCTTGGTCAGATACTGATTTGTATCAAAACGTAAACAGGTCTTCATCAATGTGACACAATTTGTATTCTTGATGCTTGGCCAGATACTGATTTGTATCAATACGTTAACAGGGCTTCATAAATCACTGTGACACAATTTGTATTCTTGATGCTTGGTCAGATGCTGATTTGTATCAATACGTTAAAAGGGCTTCATAATCACTGTGACACAATTTGTATTCTTGATGCTTTGTAAGATACTGATTTTTCTCAATAAGTAAACAGGGCCTCACCAATCACTGTGACACAATTTGCAGTCTTGATGCTTTGTAAGATAAAGACTGTGTCAATACGTAAACAGGACTTCACAGGACACTGTAACAAAATTTGTATTCTTGATGCTGTCAGATAATGATTTGTGTCTGAGCGTAAACAGGGCTTTTCCACCATCCATTAAAAACATATAGGTCCGCTCTGTGGTAATATACTACAGTTCCATCAATGTATGTTTATCGAGTATACGTAGGAACTATATTTCATCATCGTCAAGCACGCCGTGTGGCGTATAAATATGTATCACTTCATCATGGCGGATTAAACCAGAAGTATCGTCTGCTTTGGTTGTCCCTGCCTTTCCACGAATACGACCGTCGAAACCGCACATAGAAACATAACATGGTGGCAGCGTAAGAAACGAACCGAGACTCGAACTTTTGAACTATGGTTTGTGTCATGACGACAGTTTCTTTGTCAGTGAAACGAAGATTTGTGCGGCGTAAGCCGACTGGCGCTAGTGCTTGCAGAAAGAACGGTCAGTAACGGACTTCGAGTTTGATTGATTTGAACTGATTTCGTCACCCTGTAACTCGGTTTAGGTTTAAAGTGTCGATATCAAGTACGTTCAAACATAAGGAAACATCAGAAAATATAAATTGTGATCTTTATCAAGAGATTGGAACTTTTACTATTTTTAGAACTGTCGTTGCTGCAAGGAGCTCACTAACAGCAGCCACGTGATAAAATGGCCGCGCCCATGGATAAACATCCTGTTGTTATCGCTACTCGATAAACGGTGAAATTGCACTTACGGAAACTGAACATTCCATACGCAAACAAGCATTGATATCACAACTACACCAAAGTTAGACTGGTCAAGCCCATTCAACTCTTGGACGTTGACAGAAACACAAAGGAAAGACTCCAAATATATTTTTGAAAAATTTGAATCACAGATTGAACCAAGCGTGAATTACCGATTGCAACGCCTATACCTTCAAAAATTCAAGCAAAATGAGGATGAAACTGTAGACAATTAAATGTCAAGATTCAGGCTACAAGCGCTTAAGTGTAAATTCAAACAAGATAAGATGAATGAGAGATTGATAGAACAATTGATATTCGGAACAAAGATGCCAGAACTTCAAAAGAGTTACTGGGCAAAGATGACAAATTAACTCTAGAACAAGCAAAGGACTCGTCACGAGTTCAGGAAGCTTCAATTAAACACATGGCCCAGCTAACAGGTGCTCAGGAGTCCTGTGTAAATGCCATAAGACGGGAACAACACCTGCGTGTACCTGCGTGTGAACAGTGTGGGAGTTCACACACACAGCTCCAGCCCTGTCCTGCTCATGGGACATTTTGTGAGAGGTGTGGTGGGCCGAATCACTGGAAGAGTATGTGTAGAAGTAACATATCAAACCACCGAGGACGAGCACGTCAGCGTGGCCGTGGAAGGGGCCGGAGTCACTTGAGGGTAAGAGGTCGATCCAGGCTTTATCGAGAAAGGAATATCCACTCTTCAACAGGCGAAAACCCTGATGATATCGACCAACATTTCGAGACCCTTACTTTCCAGACCACTGATGTCATCAAATCAGATTGCACTGAGGACGACAGAGACGAAGTATTCGCAACTATCGATATATCTTTGGATAATAACAGCCCTGCTCATCTCAAGGCAAAGGTCGACACAGGGACTCAAGGTAATCTACTCCCTCTCAGAGTTTTCAAAAAGATGTACCCTGACAAGATATCACCCCAAGAGACTCCAATTTGTGGTGCAACGTATCCAAAACAATCCTGAGTGCATATAATGATACCAGGATACCGCAGTATGGTAAGATAACCATACCCTGTCATTACAAAGGTAAGAAGGGTAGAGCAGTATTTTATGTTGCTGACTCAGAAGGCCCGATTATCTGTGGACTTCGTACCTCGCGTAAACTAAGCCTAGTTACCCTCCACTGCGAAGTTAAACAGACACCTGTGGACTCAATACCAGATAAAGATGGACTGTTACGAATGTACCCAGACCGTTTCCAAGGTATAGGAGACTTTCGCTTAAAGGCAAGTTCCATATCACCATAGACCCTACAGTCACCACTGTAGTCCATGCTCCAAGACGATGCCCTATACACCTCAAAGAGGAAATTCAAGCTGAATTGGATGAGATGGTGAAGATGGGAGTTATCACAAAGGTTACCAAAGGCGAACCAACAGAATGGGTTTCCAGCCTGGCCTACAGCTGCAAGTCCAGTGGATAACTACGAGTGTATTTAGATCCCAAAGATCTTAACCAGGACATAAAGCGACCACATTACAAGACCCCTACATTGGAGGAATTCACAGACCGTTTCTCTGGAGCCAGAGTCTTCTCTAGGCTGGACGCCCGACATGGCTATTGGTCTATCTCTCTAGATGAAGAGTCAAGAAAACTCACTACCTTTAAAAGGCCATTTGGTCGTTACCGATTTCTCAGACTGCCATTTGGTCTCAGTCTGAGTCAAGATGTGTCTCAAGAAAGAATGGACCACATACTCACTAACTGCCCAGGAACAATATGCATCGCTGACGACGTTGCAGTATTCGGCAAGACGGAACAGGAGCATGAAAAAAACATGAACATACTGATGAAATCAGCAAGTGAACATAGTCTTATGTTCAATCCAGACAAATGTGAAATCAAGTGCGACAAGATTAAATTCTTCGGATTATTTGACGCTGAAGGTGTCCATCTCGATCCTGAAAAGGTAAACGCCATCAGAGACATTCCACCACCATGTGATGCAAAGAAGGTACAAGAGTTTCTCGGCATCGCAACCTACATGGGACCATTCATCCCAAATCTCTCTGAACACACAGTTCCTCTGAGAGAACTCACCAAGAAAGACACAGAATTCACATGGAATCAGTCCCACCAAGCAGCATTTGACAAGATAAAGGAGAGTGTGTGCAGCGAAGTAACTCATTTCAACCCTCAAGTCGATTCAGTTGTGAGAGTCGGTGCATCTACAAAAGGACTCTGAGCTGTTCTCCAACAGAGAGACAAACCCGTAGCATTGGCCTCAAAATGACTCAGTGAAACTGAGCAGAGGTATGCAAATATTGAACGTGAGATGTTGGCAGTGGCCGTGTACGGATGTGAGAGATTACATACTTTCTTGTATGGGAAGCAATTCACTGTTGAATCCGACCACAAACGTATCTCAAGAATCTATCAGCAGCTCCACAGAGACTCCAACGCATGCTATTAAGAGTTAAACCATGTGACATGAAAATCAAGTATCGTCCTGGTAAGGACATGGAACTCGCAAATGCCCTCTCGAGATCACCTACACCAAACAGTGTGACCATAGACTTGGACACTCGTGTAGACATTGTCCAGTTTTCAGAACAGAAACTGAAATCCCTCAAAGAAGAAACTTGACGTGACGCTGAGCTACAAGTCCTGAAAGAAATTATTCTGGAAGGATGGCCAGAACGCCAGAAAACACTGCCTGTCCCGATGAGACTTTGTCTTTCCGAGATGAACTGACGATAGAAGATGGTATACTCCTTAAGGGAGATTGTGTTGTTATCCCGACAGGCCGAATTGTGAGGTCGCCGAAACACTCTGACGAATGACTCTAAAGTCCATATTGTTAGCCTCTGATGTAGGCATAACGTTGCATACAATGCAGTTGTTGAAAGTTTGTGTTACCGTTCATATATTGTTCAGTGACTTTAAACTTACGCTATCATAAGACTGAAATGTCTTATTCATCTGATACCGGATTCAAGTTTATTCTCATATGATTGCACTGAAATGACGATTACTCAACTTAACAATATATCACCCTAAGTGCCTATCTCTGCCAGGACTAATAACATTCTCTCTCATATATCATATGGACTCTAATCTTTAATTGAATGAGAGGGATGTTATAATATACTATAGTTATATCAATGTATGTACATCGAGTAGGAACTATATTTCATCATCGTCAAGCACGCCGTGTGGCGTATGAATATGTATCACTTCATCATGGCGGATTAAACCAGAAGTATCGTCTGCTTTGGTTGTCTCTGCCTTTCCACGAATACGACCGTCGAAACCCCACATAGAAACATAACACGCTCCTTCCCACCCATTTCGTGGCTGCTTTTGTCGTACTGATATCAATGCACGACGATGTCAATATTGTTTAAATCAACTCATTTGCTTCAAACCAAGATGTGCCATTTCGGTATCTCCCCAATAAACTAAAACGAATTTCGAGAGAAGAAAGTACAGCGAGGAGGTAACATTCCTGGGAGGAGTTCATGATCAGGAATCTGACCGCTGATTGCCCGGAGAAACCACACAGCCCTATGTTAGAATGGATGGGTAAAGATCAGTCAAGGTTCACTTTCCATGTACGTGTCCTCAGATCTTAATACAGAGACGTGTCGCTATGGGGTAAGAGATCTGAGTTTGATTAGATCGATATACTGGTTTTGTTAAACAGGCCGTGATAAACTCATTACTTGAAACGTGAATAAGAATAAGAGTTGATCTGAAATGGTTCACGATATATTTCATGATGAATGTGTTCTTGAATAATCTGATACCTATTTCAAATATCGTATGTATCTGTATGAAACAGTCATTCAACAAATCGAAATGTATAATATTATATTAGTATCCTATTCAATCAAGATAGAACATAAAACAAATAGTCACGTTGTCGGTATAATTGTATTTCCTGAACTTTCCTTCGGTGCCGTTATATACCTTGTTCAGTGCAATTGGCGGATATAAACATTTATCATGAAAATCTGGCTTCCTCGGGAAATACGACGACAACCAAAGCAGCGAGTCTGAGAACCCAACCCTGTCTGTCGCTTCTTAAGAGTAGCATGGGTTGCTGACAACAAATTCGTACCCAGACCTTCGCAAATCAACCTCCGGGCTGATTTCGTTTCAATAAGCTGAACCGCTGTTACAAAAGACCAACACGACATCATCAGTTGCCATGACAGTTGTGTGGCGGTGTGTGGTCCTGTGCGTAGAGCTCAGGTCACAAATCAGTTGAAGTTAAGAAACGTCGAGCTCGGAGAGTCCTTGGATGGTTGATCGTGTTTGACAGCTTGACTCCGTAGAGTTTCTAGGACTTCAGTCCTGCCCCACAACGAAGCACATGTGATACATCACCTTAGGCAAGCGAGTTTATTCAAAATTGCCTCTGTTCACCCAGCAGAAAATGGGTACCCGGTTGGATAAAGTCATGTGACTATAACCTTCAAGCGCCTAATAGAGGTTGGGTAATCCGGGGTAATAATATTCAGATTCGGATTACAGCATCCAGTGAGCATCTAGTCAGATGGATACTAGGCGCTATATGAATGAATTATTATGATGACGCAACAATCAAATTACATCACTTGACGCTCTGCCTCAGACGGATAGGTCTAATTTTGATTCAGGGCACTGGCTCTCACAATTTAAAAACTGAAAAAGTTGGGAAGAACGTAATCGGATGACATACAGAATCAATCTCTCTCTCTCTCTCTCTCTCTCTCTCTCTCTCTCTCTCTCTCTCTCTCTCTCTCTCTCTCTCTCTCTCTCGTGTGAAGTTTTAAATTATATTTCAAATGATTTCTATTGAGTTGAGGTCGCGCTTAACAAGTAGTTAGATTCTTTTCGCAGATACAAACAGAGAATGTCATGTTGAATAAATTGTTAAACAATATGTGAATCATCATACCCTTACGCGTTGGTTTGTGTTCCGGCTCCGTTTTCTCAAAACAAACTTAAGTCTGAGTTTTGACTTAACTTAGAACTTTTACTCAAATTTGAGGAATTGCATTTCCCAGAATGAGCAGAAATCGATATTAAACTCAAACACAGTAGATAATTTGAGTTTGGTGGATAGATTACTTAAGTTGTTTGGGCATGTTTGTTTTAAACATGCAGTTGAGTTTAAGATCAGCTTTTTCAAATTGTCAAACTCTGTTTGAAAATTAAGTAAAAACTTAAGTTTGTTTCGAGAAGTCGGGGCCCGGTAGATTAAGTAAACACGTATATTACTCATGTGAATGCTTTTTGCGTGTTTTGATTAATTCCCATTGCCATGACACCTTGACAGGTTCAGCCTCTATTTGTCGATAGATGTCTTACCGCTCCGTATTGATTGCTATCAGAGGCACAATATACAAACGACCAGTTACACAAACTTCTACAAACGCAGAATTACATGAAACATTACACTGTTTAATCAGACATAGCAAACAACAAGACTTCATCGCTCATTGCGATATATTGTACGGATTCGTGGGGAGTTGAAGTAAGGCAGGGTATTTGGCAACGTCAACAAGTCAGTTCTTCAGCAAGGAAGCTCTTTAATACACAAATACCTCTCGATGCTGTACACTGAAACTGGTCTAAAATTATACTTGAAGGCAATTCTTACGGTTATGTTGAATTGTCTGAAGCCGATGAGATCGATCTTTTATTAGGAACGGCTGAACGTTTTCCGATAGTTACTGAGCTGTCAAACACGACTGAGTTCAATCCTTTAAATCATGGCTTCTTCCTCCGCCTACGCTTTGCTGAACCTGTCGGGAGAAAAGCGGATAAAATCATATTCTATCAGATTTTAGAAGTAACTGATTATATATTGTGAAGGAAAAGGCCCGAAGCACGTAGAGAGAGATAAACAAGAACAAAACCTGCCTCCCTGCACGCTCATTGGGTCAGTGTGGTTTGCAATGGTCTAACTTGGCATGACCTTGGTGTTGTTCCACTCTGATGCCGCAGGGACCGAACGGGAATGAGGGAGCAACTTGGGCTTTGTTATCGTCGGATTCAATTCAACATCGACAGGAATCTGTTTAGTGCTCGTGATACAAATAGTGGGCAGTTTGTTAGCGTGTTTGTATGTAACCTGTATTTTACCAGGGCTCTTTCTGCCCAACCGATAATGTTAGATCTTAAAGTTAGTCAAAGTTTCTAAATTGGTTTGAACAGAACCAGAAGTCTTCAAAGTATTGAAACTCTCCGTTTTTTCTTTATAAGAATTGCCTGAGCTGGCATGATCAAACAATAGCAAGAATAGTTAGCGTGGGCGAAAAAGACGAATTACCAAAAGCATTTTCATGTCCAAAGTTTATGTTTTGCCATACATTAACGTTATTGTTTGCTTGTCATGTTTTTATCTACATATTGTAACAAAGTCAGCTTGGGTTACAGACTTGCTCACGTTCATCTGTTTGAAATATGATTCCTGAATGCCCCTGTACTTTTAGACTTATATGTATTCTTCAAATATGAAACGCATAGGTGATTTTTGAAAATATTGGACTTTTTCTTTCCAAAACGCTTCAGCTTCAGCGCCAAACGCGGCAATTGCAACTTTCCCCCTTGTTTCAATAGCGT